ATAAGAAATTGGGATAATTATGGATAGTACCTGTATATTTTAGAACTTTACAAAATCTATTAAATATGTTTTAATTTTCAAGTATATTTACACTTTAAAACTTACTCTTTAAAAGAATAAAAAGATAATTTTTAAGTAAAATAAATGAATATTTGTATCTAGGCTGTAGATTGAAAACTAAGAGTCACATTTATTTTGACAATTCTATCTTTAAGGTGGTAAATTTAAGGATGAATGGTTGTTTAGAATTCTGCCATTGTTTTAATTATATCTTTGATTACCCTATTTTATTTTTGTAGATTAGATATTTACAGATTAGATTTTTGTATATTCCACTCCTAAGGCTATAGGGGCTGGAAACTATTATAAAATTGTAAACTATTTTGATGGTTATATTTGTTTATTGTACATCAAGAAACATTAAATGTAAAACAAAATGAAATAGATACAGAAGGTGCTTTAGGAGATCTTATCGCTTTGGAATCGATTTCTTCCAGACAACCTTATTACTTACGTAAAGAATTGTTTACAATGAATGAGTAGGAAAGAGGTATAGATAATGCAATTAAGTTAAAAAAATAGGAATAAAAACGCAAGATAATATCATTCGAGTAAAGTAGGAAAGATACAAGAAAGGACGGGAATTATGATATAGTTTCGAGTATTAAGCTTTGAGTAGATTTTAGAAAAAAGTCTAAAAAACGGTTTACCCTGCAGGCCGTCCCTAGAACTTCCCGCTATAATGTTCGATCTCAAAACGCTCGACAAATATTTTTGCGAACTAATAGTTAGCTCATTACATCGAAAACGATCCGAGCAGACATTTCGAACTTATTAAAAAATAAAAACAATTTTTTTTTGACAACGATAACTTTCGAACGGTTCAACTAATTTTGGTGTAGTTGGTGGCAATCGACGAGGTATTTTAAGAACAATAATAAAATCTATTGTAAAAAACGATTAGACTATAAATTGAAAAGTTATGCAAAGAAAACCCTTTTTTCGAAATTTTTGTCATCGATTTTTCTACAACGCATTAACCGATTTTGTTGGTTCGCAGCAATCGACGTCGTTTTTCATGTTTTTCTTTATAGGATAGGATCACAAACGAGCACACAGTCCACCTGATGGTAAACGCTTGCTGTGGCCCATAGACATCTACATCTATCCTCCGTATCCAGTAAAAAGGGTCTCCGGTTCTCTACACTCACCATACGAAACAGCAGCATTAAGCTACTATTTGACGCTGGTATTCTGTGAGAACGTGGTCCTTCCCCGGTCGAGCCGACCCATTCGTGCTACAACTATACTACTAATATAACTGCAGCATGGCTCTAGCACGTAAAAATGTCCTTGTTTCAGAGCTGATTAGATTTTGGAATTGACCGTTATATCTATTTAAAAAGCTATCCTTAAAACATTTTTTTGAAAATTTAATTTTTGAGATATCTTAAAATCTACCCGTCCAAATCGGTTGAAACAGTATTGAAAATCTAAGTTTGATGAAACCATTTCAAAATATCGAGATCTGATGAAACCTCAATTTTCGGAAACTGGGGTGAATCCAATAACTACCAGATTTTTTGAAAATCATTGATTTTCATTTATAGAAGTTATAAAAGGGAAGAGTTGTTACCATGGTTTTAACTATTCGAAAGGCCTTAGCCTAACCAGAAATTTGCGATTAATATTTTTATTTTAATCACGAATATTGAACCATACGGGTTTAATTTTGATTGAAAGTGCTCATCCTATTTAAACTACAACTTTATACTTTAACCCCTTGAAATAATACTAGTTTTTACGGAATTTATCGCGTGTATTTAACTTTTTAATTACCCGACGTTTCGAACGCTTTACAGCACTCATGGTCACGGGCAGGACTGAGATGTTCAACGTCCATATGTCATAGTTAACCGCGGCTACCATAGATTAAAATTTAACTTTTGTTCCGATCTATGCAGTATGAACTTATGGTATCTTGAAGTCTTGCAGTTGTATGCTTGGGTTGGGTTTTAATTTTATTTATTATAGGATCCCACGTTACGTCGATGTTCAGTGCCTAAACAGAATCTTCCCAAAGACGAATTTATAGCGTTAAAGAACCTACGCAATAAATACGAACTACGATTCTCCGCGCAGATAAGGGAAACGCCACGGTAGTCATGGATACGTCAGATTATAATTCTAAAATACAAGAACTTTTGTCGGATGTAAGTACTTATAAAAAGGTTAAAAACGACCCAACAAATAGCACACTAAAACAACTAGTGACCTCATAAAGAAACACTCCGAAAAATTAAATCTGGACGTAAAATGGATAATACCTACGTGCGCCAAATCACCAAAATTGTATGGGTTACCAAAAATACACAAGCCCAATGCTCCATTACGTCCCATAGTGAGCCAAATCGATTCACCAACTTACAGATTGGCTCAACACTTAGCGAAAATACTCTCACCTCTCAGGGGACATACAAGAGCACACATAAAGGATTCCTACCATTTTGTCAGCGAGATTAAAGACCTACATCTGGCAGACAATGAAACTATGGTCAGTTTTGATGTGAAGTCATTGTTTACATGCTTACCTGTTGAAGACTGTATCTCAATTGTAACTAGAAGGCTGGAAGAAAACAACATGCCCGTAGAATATGCAGTATTACTCAGACACTGCCTTACATCTGGCTACCTATTGTGGAAGGAGGAGTTCTACAAGCAAGTAGATGGTGTGGCGATGGGCTCACCTGTATCTCCCATTGTCGCCGACATATTCATGGAAGACTTTGAGGAGAAAGCCCTGCTTAGTTCTCCCATAAATCCAAGGTTCTACAAGCGGTACGTAGACGACACTTTCACAATTCTACCTTTAGATAAAGTAACTGCATTTTTAAACCATCTTAACTCTATAAATTCTAAAATTCAGTTCACAATGGAGTTAGAGGCAAACAATTCCTTAGCTTTTCTAGATGTGTTAGTAATTCGGAATCCTGATAACACCTTGAGCCATACTTTGTATAGAAAAAAGACCCATACAGATAGATATTTAAACGGTGATTCTCACCACCATCCTTCACAGTTAGCTACCGTGGGTAAATCTTTGTTTCAGAGAGCACGAGGGATCTGTGACAGTAAACACCTGGCTGCAGAGCTCCACCATGTCAAGCAAGTTTTGCATGACAACAAGCTTCGAGTCCCGCGCCTACGTCACAGTGAACGAGTGAAGCCGGCCACAGTCGAGCGTGTACCTGCTGTACTGCCATATGTTAGAGGAGTCACTGGCAAGATTGGCTACATCTTGAAGCGCGCTTCCATCAAAACATACTTCAAGCCGCTGAAGAAGATTGGTCAGTTTTTAACATCGGTCAAGTGTAATGTCCCTCTGCAAGATGCAGGAGTGTACAAGCTTGATTGTGAATGTGATCTCTCCTACATAGGACAAACTAAAAGATCAATAAAAACCCGCGTTAAAGAACATATAGCTGATGTGAAGAGTCGACGCTCCGGGAAGTCTGCAGTCTGTGAACACGTACAGGATCGCCCCCGTCACTACATCAGATTTGTCTATAGACCGCAGATCCTCGCTAAAGAACACCGATTCCTTCCAAGAATGATTCGCGAGGCTATTGAAATCAAAAAACATCCTAATTTCAATAGAGAAGACGGCTGGGTGCTACCATCTGCTTGGGATCCTATAATAAATAAAATTAAATCCCAACCCAAGCATACATCTGCAAGACTTCAAGATACCATAAGTTCATACTGCATAGATCGGAACAAAAGTTAAATTTTAATCTATGGTAACCGCGGTTAACTATGACATATGGACGTTGAACATCTCAGTCCTGCCCGTGACCATGAGTGCTGTAAAGCGTTCGAAACGTCGGGTAATTAAAAAGTTAAATACACGCGATAAATTCCGTAAAAACTAGTATTATTTCAATGTGTAGTGTTCGCGTAAATATAAGAAATCATTACTTTAACCCCTATTAATTATGTAAGCTAAGGTAGATCGTGAACAAACTTACACTATTTTTATCAAAGTGATTTTACTGTTACGCTTGATACGCTGTGATTAAATAAATGTAATGCACGTAACAAAATCGCGTACCCTGTCAGCTAGCAGCTAACTAACATCTTAAATATTCAAAGTAGACACTGAATCTCATTAACTATACTATGACGGTAAGTGTTAGTAAAGAGTTCGACACAATACAAGGAGTTACGGTTAAGTTTGAATGGCGGGCAATGATATGTAAACAGTTCACCCACTCACCGGTAGTGCGACGCGAAGTGGCGAATCTTTATAACCCACAAAAATAAATATACAGTCAATATCAATTTTTCCACGCTTATAACACTACAACAGATGAACACAAACCTAACAAAAACTTTTTAAATACCTGAGTAAGCTACAAAAACTGTCGTAGTTATAGGGAGCAATCAAGTGACATGCGAATATAACGAAACTCCCGTAATTAAAATAGGATTGGAAGTGGTAAAATTAAATATTTTTTACAACCGACTTCAGTATAAATAAAATGAGAACATCACCAATGTATTCGGAGTCAATTAAATACGGTAACACTCGGGATAACTCAAAAACTACTGGTTAGATCTTGATCAAATGTCGGTTGAAAAAAACTGATATACTTACTGTAAAATACAGAATATGGTAAATACTCTTTACTTAATGTCCAAACATATTTCATGTAGATAATTCAGGTACTATATATTGAAATGTCAAGGTCCTCAACGCTTTTATTAAAATTGCTGCATTCAAAACACAAGTACTTTGTATCAATAAGAAATAAAAGAATAAATAGCATAATATTGTGAGATTAGGAATTTTGGCAAACACAACCATTCATCGTGAAAACTTTGACATATATATATATATATATATATATATATATATATATATATATATATATTCTGTGATTATGGCTTCCAATAAAATACGAAAACTTAATTAAAAATTAAAAAAAAAGGTAAATTACCTTCACGTCGCTGTCTCGACGAGTCGAATGTTTTTCGTTTCCTGACCGTCATCTTTTCACAAATTTTCACGTGCTTGGCCAATGATAGTGGTACAAACGTCCGACCACACACCGGACACGGCATGAGGGGCAAAGGTCCCGCAGGTTCGGGGGCCACGGGTGCCACAGGATTTGTTGGGACTGGAGGCGACGGCGGTGGAGCAACATGACTCGGCGGGGGAGTCCTCACCAGAGGCCTATATGACTCGCAAAGTGAGGTTTCCCCCGCCGGCTCTGGAGAAGGTGAACGGGACGACTTCGCTGACTGTTCTTGATTTTTTTGCCGTTTACCTGAAACAATTCCGATTTATATTTTAGATATTTTCAACATTACTGTATTATACAATTTGTCGAATTAATAAGTGTGTTAAATGTGATAGACTTAACGTCTTTTATTCAATATCTAGCATTTAATTACTTAAATATTTTCGCGATGCTTTGCTTCTGCTAAATATCAAATAATGATATATATAGCAACATAGAAATACACATATACAAAATTTCATTAAAATCAGTGTTGAGTGGTTCCGGACATAGTGACACGGGATTTTTATTAAATAACATTTATTTAACTACGGGTTGATTTTTCAATTACCAGGTAAAGTATAATATATATAGATATATTAATATATAATAATACATAATATACATATACATAATAATACAACATTTATGTTACAGTTCAATTGTTTTACTTTAATATTCTTATAGAATTTAAAAATTTTTTTATCTGATCATCGACTTAATACATCCGTTTATTTAATATATGGCAACATGTTGGTAATTTGTATTAGGCTTTAGGATTAGGTTTCGACCGAAATTTGGGTATTTTATTATTGATTTACAATTTTCTTTATGTTTTACAAATTTTCAATAAATTGTTCTTCGATTACAGTCAAGTTATCAAAACTTGTAACTTGCTATGAAACAACCGCACCGCACCTCAAACTGCGGGCTTTTTTATATAACGCAATTACATACTTGTTGTTTTATTTGATATTTATCCAATTATTATTAAACATTAAGACAATAATGTCAATTTTATATAATACTAGTTGTAACCGGTCACGCGTTGATGAGGCTCAATAAGTTTTTAAGAAAACACGAGAGTATTCGAATGCAACGTGGTGTGAATCGGTGAGGAAATTTACGAAAATTTTAGATTTTGAAAACATTTTATTTTTATTTAAATAGATTAAATATCTTAATAAAGATTTTATCTTTGACAATTTCACCCACGGAGTCGATTCCTGAAAAATTATTACTTTCGCGTAAATACCGAAAACCTTTTATATCTGATATAACTATTATGATAGGAAAAGGTATCAATAACGAGTAGAAAATTCGATTCAATATATTCAAGATATGGGGGCACAGTACATTCAAACTAATATGTCAAAAATTTATGATATGCGTAAGGTGACTTCAGCTGTCATTCAAACCCAAACCCCACATCCTTAGCAAATACGTTGGCAGCAGATCAAATAGTCATAATTGTCTAGTCGTAAAGGATATCCCACTAAAACACAAATATGAAATGGGGCCAAGTTAGATACAAAAGTCTTTTGGGTATGTCGATTTCAGCGATAAAAGAAGTATGAAAGAACGCCAAGCTCCATAGCAGTTACTTAAAGCATGGGATCTATGGGAATTTACGTTCTTGTAAAATAATAAACAATAAAAATAACATATTGTTGGAATCATATTCTTTTTATTTATCCAAATACTACCCACGACCAATTATAACGTAATATCATCATTCCATCTAAACATATCTAACTGTTTAATGTAGATTTTTTAAAGAAATTAGTTTTGAAGCCACCATTGAAATATTATACCTACGATTGTATCCAAAGCAATGTTAAAAGAAAATTTCGCTTTTCTACAATGTCAAAGCAAACAAATTAAACAGAAATGGAAAGGTTGCATGAAATATCGAAGTTCTCACGACTTCCATGATGAGATGATGACGATCGTTAGGTAAAAACTTCGCTTTTACTCTCTCTAACTCAAATTACACATTTCTTTCACTTTCCGTTGGTATTGGGTTACATTAAGCGAACGGTTGGAAATGTTTCTAACGTAATATAATCCTTTTAGATACAATCTGTAGCTTTTTTACTTTGCATAAACGTCATCTGTCATACTTACAATAAGTGGTTTATTGATAATCCCAAGATGCAACTGTGATTTGAGAAGAATCTTCTGTAAACGGTACATTGTGTTTTTACGTGGAAGAACCACGCTGCGCCTATATTATGGTTGTAGCACGAATGGGTCGGTTCTGCCGGGGAAGGACCAGGCCCTCACAGAGAGAGAGAGCACACAGCCCGCCTGATGGTAAGTGGATGTTGTGAGCTACAGACATCTACATTTATCCTCAATTAAGAATTAAAGTGCAGATGCGTTGTCACCCCTGAGAGTTAAGATGGAATGTCTAGTTTTAAGTAAAAAGGGTCTCTCGATCTCTATATTCACCATACGAAACACACCAGCATTAAGCTGCTATTTTACGCTGGTATTTTGTGAGAGCGTGGTCCTTCCCCGGTCGAGCCGACCCTTTCGTCCTACAACCATAAAATATAACTGCAGCTTGGCTCTACCGCATATAAAAAGGAGAAATAAGGAGTCTTGAAAATTATCAACACTTGTATACATGTTATGAATGTTTATTTCGTATTAATACAGGTTTAATATGCTTTATGGTTCCTATTATAAGGCCTATGTTCAGCAGTGGACTTTCATATGCTGGAACGGTATACTTTAATGTAAGTTGCATTAAATAATATACAAATTATACGACGTACATTATGTAACAAAGAGCGAGCGAATAATAATTAGCGATATTAGTTTTGTCAGCTTTATCTGGAAACGGGGATCATGATGTGATTTCGCAGGACTATAAATATAAGAAACTGGTGATAAAAATATATTCATTTTGTATTGGTAAGCCTTCATGATTGTGTAGGTAGCCTCCTACACAATCATGAATAATTCGTACTTACCACAATAAAAAATTCAGCTCGTATCGAAATATTTATATTATTAGAATATATTATTATAATATATCTTACTTATTGTAAACCCGCAACATAACTCACAAGGGCATGAGGTAGGTAAACATGACGCAAGCGAGTCACAACCATCTATTGGGAAAATTATTATAAGGTAGTCACGCGACAGGTTTCGAACTTATGCTTTGCGACAATCTCTAATATGTGGAATTATTATAGTTAAATAATAAAGTTACTAACACTAACAGGCGTCTTAAGAAGACTTTTTTGTAGTTTTCAATATAGACACAAAGTACCGTATTTTACTTTGTGTCTACATAATTTTAAAATACTTTCCAGTTTTCTGACTGGAAAGTTTTTTTGAATACAGAGGATACATTTTATTTCTTGTTAAAGTCCGACTGGAACATAAAAATCATCGCTGTATTACGGATATTGGCGAAACTAATGCCATTTACTGAAAATAGTTAGGTACTTGATCTTTCTGCGTTACCAACTAACTCATCTTGTTATCTAACTTGTCTATAAAGGTGGTTAATATGACTACGTGTCCAAATCATAGATAATGTCCAAATTTCGTTGTAAACCTGATTGATATTTTATGCAGAAAGCGTATTTGGTTACTAGAATAAAATGAAGGAATAAAATTTTTGCGATACATATTATGAAAAAATCTATTTCGTTAACGAAAATAAAAATGCGGTAAATGACAATTTCTTTATATTATAGTTAAATTGAAGAATTTTGACTGTTATATAAAATAATTAGCTGATTTTGAGATCTCATTTTCTTTAGCAAGAATAAATAGAATAATTTCCACTTCAGGTGCTTTTCAACACCTTAAAATTTAAGTCCAAAAAAACGCTAATAAGACGCAAGAATTACCCGTTGTTTATGTTATTCGTAAAACCGTTAGGTTTTTTAATAGAACATTACATGAGGGTCTCTAGGATGTCATTAATGGAAGTCATAACCACTCAGAAACAGAGCTGAATCCAGAGAGGTATAGTGCTGCCGAGTAAATTATGGCTAATTGAATTATTGTTTTATTTGATTAATTTTTGAATTAAAAAAAATTTTGAGAAATTTTTAATTGAATTATTAGGCATACGATTGTTGGCATCACTATATTATTTACTACCTACCATACTGGTTCAAGAACGAGTTCCATTTCAAGATTTAAATTTTTCAACAAGCTAAAGTATAATAAAACATGTGCTATAAACTATAATAATATGTAATACGAGTAACTTACTGAAGCAACACAGAAAACGGAACATCGAAGTAAACATAGGTGCTTGTTAGGTCCTATGTTTCAATTTATATTTTATTCTGTTACAAATGGTGTTTATTTTAACTTCAACAAGACGCGCAAGGTATACTTTCAATTATAAATTGATAAACGACACTTGAAACTAGTTTCATTCACTACTAGATCGTTATAAATAAATTATGTAAATGTAATACACAAGTCTTTAACGTTGCGAGTCAAAACGTGTAATGCGACCTTGGTAAAGATCTTGATTAACTTTGTAATCACTAGTTTATTTTAACAAAATAGTGATTAAAAACCACTCAAGCGGCGGGTATTTATAAAAATAAAGCTCGTTCGTATATTGTATTCTTATGAGTGAATGACAGAGAGGCGAATCTTTATAACAAATTTTCAAGACGTATAAAAAAGATACATAAAAAGTATGTCATATTTGACAAACGTTCACTTTCTTCAGATGTAGATATATCCCTGCAAACATCGATCACTATTATATTAGTGATCGATGCCTGCAAACAAGAAAACGTTCTTAAAGTATCCCATCCCGGAAGCGTGTAGTGTAAATGCAGCAATAGGCCTGTCTAAATAACAAGTAGTTCTTACACAAATAAGATATAGGTGGTGATGGTTAGTGCAAATTTTGCGCTACAAACCGGAATAGGTATGAATGTGCCTTTAAAATTCTAAGTCAGTAGGGGCTATCGTCACTTACTTTAGCCTTTCCGAGAACATATTCGCCATTCTCAACACAAAAGATTGTTTCGTTATGCAGTACACGATATTTCAACGCGTGCTGCGAACGTAAATTAGTACAGATTTTATTTAACGTCGGTTAACAAGCGGTCCGTGCCTGCTGGTCGACAACATCAAAGAGCCGAGTATAAGTAATAAGTGGTAAGCAAGAATGGTCGAAGTTATTAATGACGTTAACGATGTGTCTACAGCCGACATTTAAACGTTTGGGATATCCTTGCCTAAATTACAATTCCAGTTTTATGTTTTGT